TACTAACAGTCTTCTGTGTTAGAATATCCTCCGATCATGCAGAAATATGTTAATTGTGGTTACTATTTATGGAAACTCATGATGGTCAGTAATAATCATTTAACGGGTGTCTCAACCAGAAAAACGGCGCAGTGTGTATTGTTATGCTATTTACAATTTACATTTATCCCCGTTACATGCGGACTGGCATGTATGGATTCAATTTGGAATGACTACTAATGGTTAAGAAGGAACAAAGTGCAATATTTTCGCTACTTTTATTGAAACAAATACGTAAGCTGAAATTGTGAGCACAGAAGAGTCGTGTAAATATCTTTTTACCTTTGAGAAATAAGCTTTTATAACTACAATTTTTAAACAATATTTATAACAATGAAAATGGTAATATTATAATGTTTTATATGGTATAATATACAATGCCAAACGTTCTATGCACGAATGCGCTAACCAATGAGGTAACGGATCATTTGGCACTTAATTTTTTTTACTTTAAAAGGATAAGTATTAAATATAAAACTACAAAGATTGAAATAAAAAAAAAATCATAAAATTGACTGCCAAACGTTCTATGCACGAATGTGCTACCTGGCGGGATAACGAGTCGCTTGGCAGTTAATTTTATTACCTTTTGAAAACAACATTCATTCAATAAAAACATTTTATAAAATTAAATGAAGACCGCCACAGCATACCCATCCAACTTGTGGCTATCCAGAGAGAGAGAGAGAGACAATATCCACTATTTATCATCTTGGTACGCGTGCAAGAGAGGCGCGGATAAAAACCAAAGGTTGATACATTTTTTTTAAATTCATCTGTTCTTTTCTTACATAATAGCAGTTCGATTTATCACACAGCACAAGATTACCAACCCAATCCACATTACAAAATTTTAGTTTCCTGTCGGCTGTAATCAATTTTGCAACTCTTAACACAAAATAAATCACCGTTTTACTTCTACGTACACTAGTGACACCGGCTTGTTCGTAAATTCGCTCCTGTATGTTGTAGACTTTTCTTGCGTTTCGGAGAGCCACGGTGGTTAAGTGACATGTAAAGGATGTTCAATACTAATATTTTAAGGCATTATGTAAGATTTAGATAAAGAGCTGGTCATTCTGACTATATTGCAAAAATAGATAATGCATCGGGACAAACGGCCAGTCTCCTTACGTAATACTTGGCATGGTTGTGAAGCCGTGAATCTCTAGTTTATAAATGTGGCCAAAGTATTACCGATAATCCCAATTTTAACGAATAGAACGTAACAGAATACACGTATAGCTGTGATGGCTTCTTCGATAATCAAGAAACTAAACTCGATTACCCAATCAACATTCTTAATCTCCTTCGCACTAACACAAAGGTGCTAATTAAGTTTTGATATACAAGACCTACATTACTAATGTATGGACTGTTCTCTTTCGTTCTAAATTATAACACTGAGAGAAATATTAAACAAAAATTAACAAATTTGCTATGTGATTTTGTTTTAGAACATAACAATATCTTTAAAGCGAGAATTTCATATTTTCTAAGAAAGTTAAAACATAATTATTTCTATGGCTTTTGCTCAATAGGTTATCAACTCACTATTATATGATCATGGGCATTATTTCCCACCCTTAAAAATCATTGACACAGGAAATAATAACACAATTACCTCCCTTGTTTGTAGCTTTAACTAGCTTTTTCTCAAAACTACCTTTACTGACTTGGGCAACCTCAAACGGATATAGTTCAGTCAATTTTATAGTTTAATATCCATTATCTTTTCAAATAAAGCAATAGGACGTTGGTCGCTTTGACACCAAAAGTTTTCCAATATGAACCCTGAATAAGCTCGCTCATGCATGTTTTTTTTGCTTTTACATGTACAAATTGTTACTTTGATTAAGAAGGCGTTTCTTGATTGTTGGCGCTGTGCTCTGCACGGACAATTCGTGAAACAGTTTGACGTGAAGTCTGAAATGGCCGGGTTAACATTTGAATTATGTGGGGGGGGGGGGGGGTATCAGGAATCAGGTTAACTTATATGGTACAAATTTGAAGATACCAATAATAATGTAAATAGATATTCACACGATTTTTCACTGCTCAGAATTTCAGCTTGTATGTATGCATTGGTATGCGTATGTGTATGAAAGTCATTATTTCTGTTATCTACTATCATCTGTTTCAGTAGATTTAGTGAAAACAGATTTGTTGATCTTTTTTTAACCATTAATTTTACTTCCACCAGGAACGGGTACAAATAGAGTGACTAATCAAACCTTGCCATTGAGCATTTAAATCCATCCTCATTTTCTTTTGCACATTACGGCGGTAATCCAAATCGCCAACAGATAGCCCTGGTGTTCACTGCCATCCTTTATCGTTTAAAAACATTTCCCGCGATTCGAAAATATTTATAAAATAATTAATCATTTATTCAGGATGTAGTGACGATTCAACGGAAAAATCACAATTTAAACGATACTAATAACTTATTTAAAAAAAACTCACCAGAAATTGATATAGTTAATAATTTCACGCTATACAGAAGTCGGTTCCAGTTACTGACGCAGTTCAAAGATAACTGGCGGTTCTACCCAGATAGTGAATGATAGTCTAAATAGTGACGTTTAAGAGACTACTGACAACACAAATATTTCGCACAAGTTACCATGAATAGTAACTACATTTAACTTATTCTACTTGGTTTAAGGATATCCCAACACAGAAGCCAGTAAGTCAATACTCAGAGATTAATTCTACGCACTATGCATCTTGCCGTGTTAGCTTGTTAATTTCTATATTTAAAAACATAACCCCCATTCAAAATATTATCATAAACCCGAGAATATGCCATCAAAATAGAATCTTTTCTCTGACATTACTCTTGTAAAAATTGGACATTTCCATCTCTCGTAATTTCACGTGTCTCACGAGATTTCTACTTTAGTTTTCAGTTATTATATTATAACAAATGCGATTAGAAACAGAACCTACATTGTCTAGTATTTATGAGATATGTGTATGTGTGAAATAGCTTTATTTAACGTCCCACTTCTACAGAAGTGATATCACAGACAAATTATCGGATATATTGATTTGAGGTGTTATATGATATTAAGATAGGTGACATATATGGCTAGTTTCTACATGTTGTCGGCTGACATCAAGGAGATTGAAATGTCTGACTATTTGATGTTAAATGAAATGAACTGGTTTACTGTTCTGCACCAACCGGGTGACTGCATTTAATGGTAAACTCCAAGCTTCTTGATTCACCCTTGCATATAGATATATCACCAACCGGGTTCGGGGCTATTCTTGGTTTGAATATGCTCCCAAGTGATACATATGAAATATTTCATACATATGGATGAGCTAGGATTGGGGGTATATATAGCTCATTCGTGGAGAAATATTCTGGTGAAGGTGATCACTGTACATTCAAAGTCTGTTTCAATATTCCTTTATATACAGTTAAATATACATTATATATAAGATCATACATATCAAGGGCTAATAAATGACTTAAGCCTATCTCCTATCTCATCTGATCTCTTGTATATTTTTCATGTCTGTCTTGTCTTGTTAGTTAGTTGTATTTTACGTCCGCTTCCACCAAGGTCTGTGTGTAGGGGTCTTTTAAAGAAATAATTTGCATACAGACAAAAGGACAATCATTTCAACAAATCAGATTAAAGATGAAATTAGGGATAAAAATATATTGTAATGAATCAAATGAAAGAAGGTATATTAAGATATAAATTTCATTGCATAAAAGTTTCATAGTGATATATAATTATAGAATCAGTTAATAAGCTTTAAGCCATAGATAAAGTAAAGGTGTTGACACTTGATTGGCACTGATCAGACTATTGTTTATTCTATAAATCTTTGTTCAAAGTTTCTCTTTATAAGCCTATTGGCATCAAAGGTTATAACACAGTCAAGACCAATCATGCTTTTAGTCAATTACTTTATAGACTTTAAATCAAAATATTAACATTAAAAGTAAAGACAGACAGACTAATAACATTAATGTTAGCTATATTGCCTATATACATGAATAAAGAGTTGAGAAATAAATTATGTATTCTTAAAATAAAATTTGAAAAAGAACTAAAAATTAATACCACTATTCGGTGATAGATAGACAATTTCTGATAAACATAAATACTTCACATTCAATTTCATTAAATTTAAAGCATCCTTTTTAATGCGCACACTGAAATTCTGAAAATGTAAAATCTATGTAAAAATATAAATTCTGTGTGGGTACCATTTTGAGTCTCAGGGTCTACTTGCACATTGTCTTGTATAATGTCTCACTGTTCAGGAAACCAAATAGGCTCTCAAAAATATTCCAGGAACGGTAATCGTGTTTATGTATGGAACTAGAGATACAAGTGTTAAGGACGCTATAACATTACTGACCCACAATATATGAATAGATGAGTGTGTGTGTGATGGTGTTTGGGTGGAGGCATTATACTGTGGGTGGATGTACTTATCTGAAAATACATGATTTTATTATCCATTATTATGTATCCATCATATCTATCTATCTTTCAGTTTTGAATTCTTATAGATATGTTCTGTTTTGGTGGGCAGATTTGTAAACAGGCCCTATGCCTAAGTCTCAACCCAAATAACCAAATGTAGATCTGTGTCGAGTGCATTTATCCACAAAATAAATAATTATTGGTGTTTTTGGTGATAACTGCATGCCAAATGAGTGCTGGGCAAGAGCCGGCCACCACCTGCCTCTTTCCTTTACCGACTGAAAATGTTTGTCTATTTGTTGGAAACAACAATGATAAAAAGGTTAAATGTTTAAGAAAAATAACAACTTACTTAAATGGAAGAAAATTTATTTCTGAAGAAACCAAAAAGTAATTCTTTGTCAAAATATACCAGACACGACCTTTGAACACCTTCCAAAACTAGTCAGCAAGGTTTGTGATACCCTTTGATGAAATGTTAAAAGCTTTGTGTTATTTTATTAGATTTTAGTCAAATACGACCAGTGTATGCCCCTAAAGATTTCCTGGAAGTAGTCACCAGTCTTAACAATGTTAATTACAGATCAACCAATCACAGTGGGTGAGTACATGTACACTACTAGAATAGCTCACACCTTCCTGGTATTGGCCATGGTTTACCAAGGTTCTCTTCAGGGCCATTTTGACCTTTGTAACACTACGGTTATTAATACCGTATGCCACAGTACATCCCAGCACCATGGCATTGCAACCATGAAACTTCAAATATATGTTTATATCCCAAAGGATTATGGCCCTTTATTGTACAAAATTCGCTTTTTTAACCTGTTCTCTGTCCATCTCTTGCCAAATGTGGGGATCTTTTTTATACGCCCACATTTTCATGTGGACGTATATTGTCGTCCATCCACAATATGTTTGTGGACACTCTAGAGGTCACAATTTTTATTCAATTTTGACGAAACTTGAAATATAGGTCTATCTCCCAAAGATATTGTTTCCTTTCAATATTGGCATAAATCAGACCATCACTTCATGGATTATGGCCCCTAATTGTACGAAAAATCACGTTTTTAGCTTGTGAACATTCTACAGGTCACAATTTTCATCTGATTTTGATGAAACTTGAAATGTATGTTTATAACGAAAAGATCTTGGTTCCTTTCGGTTATTGCGCATATTGGATTGTAACTTCCTGAATTATGGCCATTGATTGTACAAAAAATCACGTTTTTAGCTTGTGGTCCCTCTGGAGGTAACAATTTTTATCTGATTTAAAAAAAACATTTGAATATATCACCGTTAGTTCTACTGAGTTCTACTTTCGTGAAAATCAGACCAAAACTGACGGACAAAATGGCTGCCCCGCGTACGCAAATTGTGTAAATATATGGTATATCAAGGTTGTGGACCCTCTAGAGGCCACAATTTTGAACCGATTTTAATGAAACTTGAAACTCATGTTTATAACCCAAACATCCTGGTTCCTGTCAATATTTGTTCATATCGGATCATAATTTCCTGAATTATGGCCCTTGATTGTACGAAAAATCACGGTTTTAGCTTGTGGTCCCTCTAGAGGTCACAATTATTATCTGATTTAAATAAACGTTCGAATATATCACCATTACACTGAAATGTTGATTGAGTTCGAATTTTGTGAACATCAGACGAAAAATGCCAGACAAAATGGCCGCCCCTCTACGCAAATAGTGTAAGCATCTGGTATATCTCTGTCCATCTCTTGCAAAATGTGGGCGAATCTTGCATGGCAACCAATTGTTTTTTTGTTTCTTTAAATATAATATAAATATATGTGTATGTGTGTGGGTGTGTGTGTGTGTGTGTGTCTGTCTGCAAGTAATTATGTCAACATATCCTTTCCATAAGTATAACACGAACCCGAATGTCAATATTACCTGCAACAGGTAAATTTCAACATTAGTAATTTCCGCCATTCTCCATGGGTAGTCGTAACTTTCCGTAAATAAACAATCTGTGGCGTCATTTTAGTCGTTCTGCTCATATTCTAGTCTATATTTTTCTATGTGCAGTAGGACTAAAATTGATGCTTTTCCGGTGACCTTTAAGTGATCATCTTGAAACTTTACATACTTATTCCTTATACCACGCCCATTTCTTGTATTGGTTTGTTTGTCGTCTACAGGCCGCATTTCTTAAAGTATCGTCTTGAAACTTTGCATACTTATTCTTTGTACCCAAAGAAACTTCTCTATTGTTTTGGGTGCATGCCCAACCCAGCAATCGGCAGAGCCACGCCCATTTTCGTTTTGTGTGTCTTTGTGTCGCCTACAGGCCGCAATTCGTAATCGATCATCTTGAAAAAATTTCATATGAATTCCTTATGCCCTAAGGATGATCCCATTTCTTGTATTTTTTTATTTGTCAACTACAGACCACATTTCTTAACTTTGCATACTTATTCCTTCTATCCTAAGGAACATCCCTATTGTTTGTGGTGAATGCTCACCCCCCAGGGGAGAGCCACACCCATTTTCTTTTTGTGTGTTTGTGTGTCACTTACAGCCCGCAATTCTTAATCGATCATCTTGAAAAATTTTTTATACTTATTCCTTATACCCTAAGGCTGACCTCTATTATTTTTGGTGCATGCCCGACCCCCTGGGACAGAGCCATGTCCAGTGTTTGTGTGTCATCTACAGGCCGCAATTCTTAACAGATTCTTTTGAAACTTTGCATACCTATTCCTTTTACCCTAAGGACGACCCCTATTGTTTTTTTTGGGATTGCCCAACCCACAGGGGAAGAGCCACACCCATTTTTTCCTTGTGTTTCTGTCTGTTACCTACAGGCCACGATTCTTAATGGGTCGTCTTTGAACTTGGGATATGTATTCCTTGTAGCCTAAGGACGACAAATGCATGTCCCGACCCCCAGGGTCAGAGCCACGCCCAATCTTTGTGTTTATCGTTTACAGGCCGCAATTCTGAATGGATCAACTTGGTACTTGGCATATGTATTCCTTATGGCCTAAGGGTGTCAACTATTGATTTTGGTGAATGCCCCGACCCCCAGGGGCAGAGTCCGAAGGCCACAATTCTGAATGGATTATCTTAGAACCTGGTATACTTATTACTTATACCCTAAGGACAGCAACTATCAATCAAAGCAGGAATGTGGACGTATATTGCAGCCTTAGCGATGCTCTTGATTTTTTATACGCCCACATTTTCATGTGGACCTATATTGTCGTCGCCCCTGTCAATCCGTCCACAATTGTTTGTGAACACTCTGCAGGTCACAATTTTTATCCGATTTCAACGAAACTTGAAATATAGGTTAATCTCCCTAAAATCTTGGTTCCTTTCGATATTGGCATGTAACTTCATGGATTATGGCCCCTGATTGTACGAAAAATTACCTTTTTAACTTGTGAACACTGTATAGGTCACAATTTTTATATTGTCGTCGCCCCTGTTTGTACGTCCGTCCGTCCACAATTTGTTTGTGGACACTCTACAGGTCACAATTTTTATCCGATTTCAACGAAAATTTGAAATATAGCTTTATCTCCCGTAGATCTTGGTTCCTTTCGATATTGGCATGTATCAGACCATAACTTCATGGTTTATGGCCCCTGATTGTACGAAAAATCACGTTTTTAGCTTGTGGACACTCTAGAGGTCACAATTTTAATCCGATTTTCAAGAAACTTGAAATGCATGTTTATAACCCAAAGATCTTGGTTCCTTTCAATATTCGTGCATATCGGATCGTAACTTCCTGAATTATGGCCCCTGATTGTACGAAAAATTGTGTTTTTTGGCTTGTTGTTCCTCCAGAGGTCTAAATTTTTATCCAATTTAAAAAAACGTTTTAATTTATCACTGTTACACCATAATGAAGGTTGAGTTAGAATTTCGTGAAAATCGGACCAAAACTGATGGACAAAATGGCCGCCGCATGTACGCGAATAGTGTAAAAATATGGTATATCAAGGTTGTGGACCCTGTAGAGGTCACAATTTTAATCCGATTTTGATGAAACTTGAAATGCATGTTTATAACCTAAAGATCTTGGTTCCTTTCGATATTTGCGCATATCGAATTGTAACTTCCTGAATTATGGCCCCTGATTGTACAAAAAATCACCTTTTTTTTAGCTTGTGGTCCCTCTGGAGGTTATAATTATTATCAGATTTAAAAAAACGTTTGATTATATCACCGTTACATCGTAATGAAGGTTGAGTTCGAATGTCATGAAAATCGGACCAAAACTGCCGGACAAAATGGCCGCGGCTTGTACGCGAATAGTGTAAAAATATGGTACGTATCAAGGTTGTGAACCCTGTAGAGGTCACAATTTTGTTCCGATTTTGATGAAACTTGAAATGCATGTTTATAACCCAAAGATCGTGGTTCCTTTCAATATTTGCGCATATCGGATCATAACTTCCTGAATTATGGCTCCTGATTGTACGAAAAATTGCATTTTTAGTTTGTGGACACTCTAGAGGTTAAAATTTTGATCCGATTTTGATCAAACTCAAAATGCATGTTTATAACCCAAAGATCTTGGTTTGTTTTGATATTTGCGCATATCTGATCGTAACTTCCTGGATTATGGTCCCTGATTGGTTGAAAATTCACATTTTTAGCTTTTGGATTCTCCAGAGGTCACAATTTTTTTTTCGATTTTAAAAACCATTTAGATCACTATTCCACCATAATGAAGGTTGAATTGGAATTTTGGGAAAATCGAAATGAAACTGTCGACAAAATGGCCGCTCTTTGTATGCAAATTGTATATGTAATTCAAAGGTTATGGACCCTCTAGAGGTCACAATTTTTATCCAACTTTAATGGAACTTAAAACATATCTTTATATTCCAAAAATCTCAGTCCCTTTTGATATTTGCGCATTTCAGACCATAACTTTCTGATTGTACAAAAACTCGTTTTTATACGCCCACATTGAAATGTGGTCGTATATTGTCGTCGCCCCCGTCCGTCCGTCGTCCACAATTGCTTGTAGACGCTCTAGAGGCTAAAGTTAATATCCGATTGACTTTAAATTTATATACAGTATTTAAGGCCATGAGATGAAGAAGCCTATTGATTTTCAGCGATTTCCGATAATTACTGCCAGAGTTATGGCCCTTGATCACTTCAAAAAATCTTGTGGACGCTCTAGAGGCCAAAGTTAATATCCGATTGACTTTAAATTTATACACAGTGTTTAAGGTCATGAGACGAAGAAGCCTATTGATTTTCAGCGATTTCCTATATTTACTGCCAGAGTTATGGCCCTTGATCACTTCAAAAAATCTTGTGGATGCTCTAGAGGCTAAAGTTAATATCTGATTGACTTTAAATTTATACACAGTGTTTGAGGTCACGAGGCGAAGAATCCTATTGATTTTCAAAGATTTCTGATAATTACTGCCAAAGTTATGGCCCTTGATCACTTTGAAAAATCTTGTGGACGCTCGAGCAGGGTTCCCGCGGTCCTTGAAAATCCTTGAATATCCTTAAATTTAAAATTTCATTTTCAAGGTCTTGAATATCCTTGAATTTCGCGGAAATAGGAAAATATCCTTGAATTTCAGTTGAGATCCTTAATTTTGTTTCAAATGTCTTCAATTCCTTTTAAATATGAGATTATAACGATAGTTGGTAATGTTTTGGTTAATTTTTAAGATGAAAAATTGTAACTTTAGGCTAAAAAATGTCCTTGAAAATCCTTGAATTTGACGTATATTTATCTTTGAATATCCTTGAAAAAATGTTTGACGAAGCCGCGGGAACCCTGTCTAGAGGCCAAAGTTAATATCTGATTGACTTCAGATTGATACACAGAGTTTAAGATCTTGAGACGAACAAGTATATTGATTTTCAATGAATTTTTATGACTTGGAACAGCTAAATCCATGATACAGTATTAAAAGTTTTGTATACAAAACGTTAGCATGGTTTTCTGAGTTGTTGCTCTTAATCAGATTTTAGTGTATTATAAATCTTTCATTACCGAAAAAAGTAAAAATATGCGACAACTCTTGTTGACTGCCCGGACGATTTAGCTGCTGTGGGCGTATGTTTCGTTGCCTGGCAACCTATCTTTGTTTTTAGCTTGTTCTCTATCCATCTCTTGCAAAATGTGGGCGTATCCAGCCTGGCAGCTGCTGGTTATCTGATTTGGTTTAAACTTGAAATGTATGTTTATAACCCACAGATCTCGGTTCACGGATATCGGACCATAACTTCCTGAATTATGGCCCCTGATTGTATAAAAAATCGCGTTTTTAGCTTGTGGACCCCATAGAGGTCACAATTTTTATCCGATTTAAAAAACCGTTACCATATATTACCGTTACACCCTAAGGATGGTTGAGTTTGAAATTCGAAAGAATTGGACTGAAACTGACAGACAAAATGGTCGCCCCTCGTTCGCAAATAGTGTCACAATATTGTGTATCAGGGTTGTGGACCGTCTGGAGGTCACAGTTTCATCTGATTTATATGAAACTTGAAATGCATGTTTATAACCCACAGATCTCGGTCCCTGTCAATATTCGCGCATATCAGATACTAACTTCCTGAATTATGGCCTCTGATTGTACGCAAAATCGTGTTTTTAGCTGGTGGTCCCTCCATAGAGGTCAAAATTTTTATTTGATTAAAAAAAAACTTTCGAATATATCACAGTTACACCGAAATGTTTGTTGAGTTTGAACTTCATGAAAATCGGGCCAAAACTGCCAGACAAAATGGCCGCCCCTGGTACGCAAATAGTTTAAACATCTGGTAAATCAATGTTGTGGACCCTCTAAAGGTCACAATTTTGATCCGATTTTGATGAAGCTTGAAATACATGTTTATAACCCAAAGATATTGGTTCCTTTCGATATTCGAACATATCGGATCAGAACTTCCTGATTTATGGCCCTTGATTGAACAAAAGATTACGTTTTGATAATCGCAGATACCCGAACTTAACTTCCTGGATTATGGCCCTTGATTGTTCAAAAAATCACATTTGTAGCTTGCGGATTCTCTACAGGGCACAATTTTTTTCCGATTTTAAAAACCGTTTTAAATACATCACCATTCCACCATAATGAAGGTTAAATTCGTATATCGGGAAAATCGAAATGAAACTGCCCGACAAAATGGCCGCTCTTTGTACGCAAATTGTGTAAAAGTGTGTAATACGATGGTTGTGGACCCTTTGATGAAACTTAAAACATATCTTTATATCCCAAAGATCTCTGTCCCTTTTGATATTTGCACATTTCAGGCCATAACTTTCTGGATTATTGCCCCTGATTATACAAAAAATCACGTTTGTTTTTAGCTTGTTCTCTATCCATCTCTTGCATAATGTTGTCGTATCCTGCCTGGCAGCCGCTGGTTTAACTTGCTATAGAACTGAGCATATAACTTGCATTCTTGTGATACTTTGAATATGCATTATGTTTCAGGTTCAACCTATGGGGTATCATACAAATACCTCTCAAAAACAGAACAATGGACGAATTAGTAAGTATTATCATGTAACTGTACTTCAGTTAAGCTCCAAAAGTTCTTTGCTTACACACTACTTTAAACTCGACTTGAAATTGTGTTATTCAACCACAGTTTTTTGCACATTCTGTTGAGCTTAAAATTTATCATCCGATCGTTGTGAAATTTATGTGCATTATTTAAATTAGTGAAACGAAGAAGCCTATTAAATTTCAGCTATTTCTGTCTATTACGTTTAGAGTTATGGCCCTTGTTTCACTTTGGTGAACCTTCTAAAACACCCTAGAAGTCACAATTTTTATCTGATTTTGATGAAAATTGAAATGTATGTTTATAATCAAACGATCATGGTTCCTTTTAATATTTACACATATCGGACCGTAACTTCCTGGATTATGGCCCCTGTTTGTACGAAAAATAACGTTTTTATCCCATTTTAAAAAATGTTTAAACTTATCACTGCTACGCTCTAATGATGGTTGAGATCCAATTTCGAGAAAATCGGACCAAAACTGCCTGACAAAATGACGGCTCCTTTAATGCAAATAGTGTAAAAGTATGTCATACCAAGGTTGTGGACCATCTAGAAGTCACAGTTGTTATCAGATTTAGATGAAACTTAAAATATATGTTTTTGTCCCAAAGATCTTGGTTCCTTTCACTATTTGCACATATCAGATCGTAACTTCCTGGATTATGGCTCCTGATTGTACAAAAAATGGTGATTTTAAAAACCGTTTAAATATACTCTTAAAAAAAAGTAGGGGACATTGAAATGCAAATACCTATGCAGGTTGTGATATGATAAATAGTCATGGACACTTGACATGCTATGAGAGTATGTAAACAGATGAAGAACGTCTGACAGTTTATCTCTTTGCGAATGAAATGGGGCCGTCGGATAAGCTGTCCATATGAATTGTTTATGTTAATGTGTAGGCAATTGGCCTGTTATTAACATACTCTGGTTGTATTTTTCTGAATATCCCCTACTTTTTTTGAAGAATATATATCACCATTCCACCATAATGAAGGTTGAATTTGAATTTCTAAAAAATCAAAACAAAACTGCCCGACAAAGTGAGCGCTCTCCGTATGCAAATTGGGTAAAAGTATGAAATACGAAGGCTGTGGAGGTCACAATTTTTATCCGATATTGATGAAACATAAAATATATGTTTATGTCCCAAAGATTTCAGTCCCTTTCGATATTTGTTTTTATCTTGTTCTCTATCCATCTCTTGCCTGGGTGTATCTTGCCTGGCAACTGTTGGTTGATGATATAGATAGACACTAACTCCTCCTATGCTGCCCAACTATGTCTCGAAAACCCAGACCCGCGCAAAGAAAGTGCACTTTTCAGGATCCCACAAACAACATATTTCTCTTGCCATTTTTCATCATGTGATTCTAAAAGAGGACAACCCATTTTATCATGTTACCGCCAGCCCACTGTTTGACTGTAGGCCTATATTGCACTGTTAAAAAAGACTAAAATTTGGCTGAAAATTAATCAAAATTGGCTAAAAAATGTCTCATCCCAGTATCTTAAAAAATGGCTAAATATTTTTTGAAACTATTTTGGCTCCAAAGTAGACCCAATGGGTGACCAAACTTTCGACCCCCACTTTTTTATAGAATGACTCTTAATATATAGTGATTGATGTACAAGAAATCAGCTTCACGGTTGGCTTGTTAATTTGTTTATGGTTACAGCCGATGTTGGCAATAATTTCATGTCAAAAAAGTTTTCTTGTTTTAATTACATTCCATATTGTCTTTTAGTAATTGTACATTGTATAAACACTTAATTTCTATCAAAATATTTCTAAAGCAATGTTTATTTTTATGTGTTTTCCAGCGAATTCAGTTCAATGAGATGTCAATCAATCAATGGCAATCTGGCATGGATGATGAACAAGATATATCTGTTGAGATTTTTGATCATGATAGAATAAAATTAGGCCAAAAAGGTACATTATAGATTATACTCCTCCTCATGCTTTCATTTTATCTGACATTTTCTTTCAAAGTTTCTGATAATTAAATTAATAAAAAAATAATTCCATTTTGCACATGGTGACAGTTAAATTGCAAAAATATTTGTCCTTCCTGTAAATTACCCTTCTTATTGGTGCAGAAGGTCATAGAGTGTGTACTATGATTAGGATGTTAAACCCCATTTCATATCCTTTCCTTGAAAATAAAGGTAGTATTCTCAAAAGAGACTTTTGTGAGATCTGAATACATATATTCTGTCGAAAATGTTTGGACCTCTTGGGCCGTCACAGATGTTTGGTGAAACTGGTGCATTATTTGACTTTTTCTGCATATCAAACAACCTTCAAGAAACTGTATATGATTTTATCCTGTGCGTAATTATCGTTGTTTGGTGGAAACTATGTATCGGGCAATTATCCAATCATTGTTGACTTTTAATGAAAGAGTCTATTTAATTTAAGGTTGATTAAAACTATGACGTTGTATATGTTGAATATAAACCTTCTCTCCCTGGTATTGATATGACAGAGAACACTTGGGCTTCACCTGAATGTTCACTGTCATATCAACCTCTGGTAGGTTAATAATCTATACATAAAGTGGAGTTTTCATGGCCACCAAAATCGAATTCATTCATGATTTTTGATCCTTTGTTATATACATGTATAACTGCTTGTGGGCGTATCAAAATTGTACATCCATGCTAACAAATGAATTATAAAATACGAGAAATATCTAATTAAGAAAAGGTACATATAATATAATAGGGTTATCACAGGCACTTGAAGGGATTAAAATAAAACTTCTTACTACTGCTTGGCTATATATTATAGTATATAAGAAGGTATTTCATCCGCCATCTTTGTTTTCACGTCTTCAAGGCATTTCGTCTGCTAACATCTCCCAATACTCACTAGTTCTAACACTACCCGTCGTTTTTATTGCCAACGAGACCTTATTTGATCATTATTCAGCTTCCGATGTAATTCAATTGGCCATTTAACAGCGTTATTAATTACAAATCAAACTTGAAGCGCTGTCACTTGCCGATATTCGTCTTCATGAGCCCGGAAATAAGTTTTGTTTGTAGCAGTCTGTATCACCCAGTCCCTCATAAACCTATCCGTTACTCGAAATTTGGTCAGTAAATGATCGAGCCTACGAAGCGAGGCCGCAGGTGCAGTCTGGATCACCCAGTTCCTAGGAAAATTTAGTTAACGCACAGGATAAAAACATATAGAGTTTCTCGAAGGTTGTTTGAATTTCTTAATTGGCAGAGCCACGCCCATTTTCTTTTTGTGTGTCTTTGTGTCCCCTACAGGCCGCAATTCTTAATCGATCATCTTGAAAACTGTTCATACTTATTCCTTATACCCTAAGGATGACCTCTATTATTTTTGGTGCATGCCCGACCCCATGTTGTAAGTGCTGGCTCTGTACTATGGGGGGGGGGCGTGATGGCCAAATGGTTAGCAGGTGCGCGCTGTATCATAAGATCTGTCATTGAGTCAACTGGCATGGTTTTGATTCCCCTGTTGGTTTTCTCCGGGTCCTCCGGTTTCCTCCCACTGCTAAAGACCCCTACACGCAAGCTAATTGTAGAAAAAAAATTGAACCATGTGTTAGTCTTTTAATGAACTAGTTTATGTCGAGTGGACGTTAAACCCCATTTCTCTCTCTCTCTTTCTCCGTACTATGGAATTGTTTGTAAGCCCACTGAAGAGGATTATCAAGAGCACTCTAATATGCATGGTAAGACGTTGTAGGTTGCATTTTCCAATGAGTTTTGATGTGTAGCTCAGGTTACTTATGGGCCTGTAGTTCTTTAGCAGAACGGCATCTAAGGATGGTTTCTCAATCAAGGGTGTCATTATGTCTTTCTTCAGGGCACTTGAAAAGACGTCATTTAGAAGCAACTTATTCACAACAATTAAAAGGATTGGTAGAAAAGCAACCAAGCTGTCTTTTAGAAGCCATGTTGGAAGTGGGTCTAAAAGGCAAGATTTCGCCTTGGTGTTTTAGTTCTACTAAGCTGTATGGTGTAAATTCTGTTAGCAAATGTAAAGTGGGAACTTTGTAAGATGGACATTGGATTTGATCAATAAGGGAGGTCTTTGTGATGATGTCAGCCTTTCTCCTGACTTTACTGGCATCCCGAGTTGTATCACAGACCCAGGGGTTTTCAAGTTTTACAACTATTGATCGTGTCTTATTAGGATCAAGGGTTCTATTGGATGAGATGGGTAGATCTAGCACCTCCTCCTTAAATTTATCTTTATTGATATTTCTGAATGTTCTGTATCCCACATTGCAAGGTGATGAAGAATTCTGTGGTTTAAATGGCATGATAAAGTGGACAGCAAAATGATCACTGAGCTGTGGGTCAATTACAATAACTTGAGAGATGACAGATTCATCAGCTTTGTACAGATCTAGGGTGTGGCTAAGTTGATATTTTGGGTTATCAACATGTTGGACAAGTCCAAAAGAGTGGAGCAATTCCTTGAATTGAGAGCTGTGTGTATCTGTGGCACTATTGAAATGGATGTTGAAGTCACCAGCAATCAGAAATATAACGCCCTTTGAGATAATAGTTTCATAGTAAGCTGCAAATTCAAATAAAAATTCAGAAAAAGGAATTCTTACATTGTTCTGTTTAGTAACAGGTGGATGGCAGACTTGCACAGCAGAGCCTCAACATTTTCAAATGTCTAGTAATCTGGGCATTGACTTGTGTTGCAATGCCTATCTTTGTAAGAACGTCAATACAACCCCTGCCCTTATGGGGAATGTGATGTAATTTATAACCAAGGGATTTAAGTTCACTAACTGTGGAACCACATGTATATGTTTCAGTAATAAGTCCAATATCACAATTTTGATCAGTTAATGGTTCAGTCAATGTTATACATTTATTGGGTAGTGATCTGATATTAATTAAACACAGGTGCAATCCTAGTGGTGATTTTTATACGTCCACTTTCATAATGTGGACGTATATTGCCGTCGCCCCTGTCTGTGTGTGTGTATGTGTGTGTGTGATGGTGCATTTGTATATGGTGTATATTGAGGACACACATCTGAATACACACCTTCTAATCGCCGACCCGTGTCAACCGAGGACGTCCTCGGTTCAACCTAGAACTTTTTGGACTAAATCCAAGACTGTGAGGATGTTCAGAAGCCTGGATTTAATATCCCATTTGATTTTAAGGTCGATCTGAGGTCCTCCACGTCAGGCGGTATTCTACAGTTAGTGTGTATCTTTCGTGTGTGTGATCTGAAAACGGAAAAATATGATTGTGTGTATCAGGTCCGCGGTTAGTGTTTATTGGACAGCGAGATTATCAAGTCCTCGGTTAAACGATATCTACCATACACATTATATATGGTCACGTTCGATATTAAAAATCAAGCCATCTAGTCAATATATTACCTCTGACTGAAGTTTCAAAATTTTTACCTGGCGTAACATATAAGATTATTGCTGAAATATATAATCAACAATTAAGATTATTAAAAAGTGACGCAATTTCAAGTAGTGACACTCGTTAGGGCGTATTAAGCCAGTTACAACTGTCTTAAATATAATGCGTAGGTACCACTGGGCAATTTTTTGCCTTGCGAATGTACTACAGATATAAATTGGTGAGCCTCGGGAGGCGCTGAGATCAGGTTTCCCGGTGTCTCAGGGTAGCTACTGAGGCATCGTGAGCCACGTGGACCCATCGCGAGGCATTGTCATTAAAACAGGTCTGGGAGGCATTCCCGGAGCTTTTCAGATCTACAAGGAAACTCTGGGGATGCTTCCCTAGAGCTTCTGTGAAATATTTGTTTCCTCGGGGCATTACCGAAGCATCCGCAGTGTCTTGCTGAGGTACTGAGGATATTTAAATCGGGGATGGCTAGGGGAAAAAGTATTTCGCGGGAGCTTCAGGGAAGCATTCCTGGAGATTCTCTGTCGGGAAAACATTGGAAAAATTTTCAATACAAGCTTCAGAATTTTTGGGCAGTTATCCCAAGGCCTGCTGATGGTTCCATAGGGCACACGACAACCCCTAAGCTTCCCGAGGCATCACTGAAGTTTCGGGAAAAAATGTTTCGATGAAGCTTCACTGTTCCAGGGAAGCATCTCCGGAGCTTCCCCATGGACCTCCCCGAAGCTTCCCGAGGCATCACCGAAGTTTCGGGAAAAAATGTTTCGATGAAGCTTCACTGATCCAGGGAAGCATCTCCGGAGCTTCCCTATGGACCTCCCCGACCAGTTTTCCTAACAAAACGTCGGGAACACATTGAAGCTTTCCCTGCACACAGGAGAATCTGTTCCATCGGTAGTATATCATCGACGCAAAAAATACCCAGTTGGACATAGGCATAAGTGCCGCCGATATGTAACCAAGCAAGATACTGAGATCTCGCGACATGAAAATTCGCCCGATATGTTGATTATCGACGAAGGTACCCCGGAGCTTTCCCGATTATTGGGAGCCATCTCCGACGATTCACGGCAATTGCTCGGGGGGATTGCCAGAAGTTTGTGACCATAGCCGAAGCATCAGTGCACAGTCACCAGACCACGCCCAATGCTTAGTAAGTTAAATTTCTCATGGGACTACTCTGTTTCTTTGGGCAAAAACATCAGGACCCGTCTGGAGCAAATTTGTTGATTTCCTTATTGCGGATGATTTTCCCCAGTGGGGAAATATAGTTTGTGAAATATAGTTAGTGATCTGACGTTTTCGAAATTGTATTAAAGAACTCAATATGAAAGACTGGGTTTTGTTATTAACATTTTGATCCACACATCTTAATTATACTAGATCCCACTGTATGCCCTTTGCATACTACTGATGGTTAAGGACGATCCCACGCTTAACTTAAACAGTGTATTGCATACATACTAGTTAAACTCGTCTTGTTATGAAAATCTTTTTTACATTTAGATTGATGAATTATCGTTTAGAGTTTGATA